ATGGTAAACACCGGGGGGGGGGGCTAGATTGGGGGGGGGCGGCTTGTTTTTCAACGTCGTCGCCAAGCGACGAAAACCCAACCCCGAAGGAAAACACCGGGGGGGGGCGGGGGGTGTTGTCGTCTAGGTGGGGACCAAGGGAGTCGTCAGCGAGGGAGAGGCGGTGGACGAAACGAGGGAGGGTTGGCTTGGGTTGCGCCATTTCGACAAGCACCCACTGTTGGACAAGGGCGGCGAGAAAGTTTCGGTAGGCGGTCTTCCATTTGGAGGTCATTTTTGTTTGCTGTCTTTTCATGGAAAGGTGCTGTGGAACTATACAGAATTTTCTTTCGTCGAACACCGTCCCCTAAAAAAGACTCAAGGAGTAGGTGGCAGACAAATGCCCCCCTGCGATGTGCGCTTGCAACGGTTGCGCTTGGCGTCGTTATCTGGTATGTTGATGTTGCTGTTCTCAGTGTGCTGCAGCTAAGCACCGGGTAGAGGTGCTCGCCAATACGCTGGAGTTTTGGCTCATGTGATCTGCTGGTTGTGTATGGGTGTACGTGTTTCGTGCGTCCGAAGGTCGTGATAGACACCCCCCACATTATATTTATGGGTAGAAGGGGCTATTGTTGCACAACGAGGAGTGCCACCCTACACTCCTACGGAGGCGAATGAAACGATGAAAATCTAGGGAGTAAATGCCTCGGACATTGGCCGACCGCGACGAATGAAACTAAAATGCCCCAGGTCAAACTCAAATTGAGCTTCGGCCAGTAATTGGGGGGGGAGATTCTCACGGAGGGGGGTGTTTTGCACGGTAGGTGAACTATTGTAGACCGCACGAAGTAGAGAAAAACTCCCTGTGGGGAGGCGTGGCGTTTTTGATTTACACACCACGAACAACAACATGTTGGGAACTCATTCACGTGGTAAAATGCGTTTAAAAGCTTTCGGGGAATAGCGAATACGTGGGAGCCCGAAGTGAGTTGATATATTCATGTATTTTTCTTCGCCTATGGTATACTGTAGGTGTCACACTGAGTACCGCCGGATCTGCCGTAAATGGCGCGGACGAAAGGCGTGGATTTGGTCAGGCCCGTTTCCAAAGAGCCCCATTTATCCACCGATCGGACCCACTTTAACAAACCCTTGACACAAAGCGCAGTATACCGTGACCACCGGAGCATGATGAGTGCTATCTCCATTCTCTTCCTTAATAATCACGCACGTGGCAAGTTGGCCCAACAGAAGGAGCCCATTTGAAAACGACATACATAAAGGGAACCACGCGCATGGCCATGCTGAAAGGTCCTTCGTCAAACGGGTTACTACACGGCAAAAGAAAGCCGCCGGGCAATCGTTGTCAGGGCAAGGTACATTCATGGGCATCGACTCAGCCCTGCTCCCCAAAGTACGAACGCATGCGATGCTGCCACAAAAATATATGGACCCACATTTCAGCATGTGTCATGCAATTCTCACGCAATGTTTATTTCCTCAAGAGGTACTTAACCTACTTTACCTACAAATGCATTGCTTCGCCTTTAAAAAAACAAGTATGCCTAGGTCTTACGAGTGGCGTGGAACAACAAAAAAAGCTTGCCACGGTACCATCCTCGCCCTCCTTGCTATACCAACAATGGCAAGTGCGTGGGCCTTCCAGGAACCACACTACGAATGCGAGGGACGCCAAAACCCGAAAGTATCGAAAACACGTTGTGCTAAACGAATGTGTCCCAGAAATATACTTCAGTATAATATGGCGATAATACAGGAATGCCACCTGGATCACCCCTAGATCTACGAGCCCTCCCGTATCCCTACCCAATTCCCGCTCGCTCTCATCCCTCCCTCATACTGCGAGATATTTCCTCACCGTTCCGTCAACCTGCGACATTGTTAGCCATCGCAAAAGTAAGTGAGAAGGGCGATCGGGGGGAGGTCAGGTGGGCGAAAATTGCAAGGCAACACTGCTACTACTGCTGTACATCGTTTTTTATGTTGCTGGTGCGCCGATCTGCCGTTTCGTTGCGCAAACACTCGAGACAAGGAAAATCAACACCGTGGGCAGGATGGCACACAAATATGTTGAGGCTTGGGATAGCTCGGAAAAGGCGTTCCTGTACCGATGAAAGCGGAGAATTGCACGAAGATGATCGTGCAAGCTTGTTCTGTGGCAAGAAGGAAATCAAAGGGGTGGGCTGCCTGAATCGATTCTTGCTTTCGGAGAACACCTTCACTATTTCGTTCTTGAAGTCCTCCAAAATGTCATAGGCGGTGCCCCGTTTCTCCGCGCTGTATCCTCGTCGTTGTCGAGCGCTGCTTTCGCGCCAGCTGCGTCCGTTGCTCTCGGGAAGGCCTTTCCTCTACCAGCCGTCTACTCGGTCACGCGGGGAAGATCCAATTTTTTTATTTTCTTCCGGCTGCATGAGGTGCGATCGCCCCCTGTAGCGGCATTTTCGCGTGAAACAAAAAAAGTGGCAACGTTGCGGGACGCTCAGTCAAATATTGAAGCATTCGCACCTCAGACATTGTCGGGTGCGCGCGAGAGAGCGGTAGGTCAATGTCGGTGAAAACGTACTGCAAAAAAAAAAAGTAACTTTTTTTCTCGTGTCGTGGTCACGCATGTTTGGTGTCGACAACAGTCGCAGGGGTGATGGGGCGTATTCTGACGAATACGTTGGTATTCTGACGAATACGTTGTAGTCTACTGCTGAACGAAACAATCCACATTCTGTCTTTCAAGGACTGCACGCTGGCAGAATGGCTGCTGCTGTGGACGAACACGCCACAACTCGTGAGTGAAAAAACATGCTGTACATTTGTGCACTGCTGCACATGGTACACTAAAAAACAAACGATTTACCACTGCTGCTGCCGACTTGACTGACGGATTAGTCTACAGCAGGTTTCGGTGATACAGTAGTAGTTTGGGGGACACAGCAGCGGTACTCTCGGCATGTATGTGCCCATGTACAAACTACATGTAGACGCAGACTACAGCTGCTTTACGCAGTGGGTAACAGCAGCACAGTCGGTGGCACCAGCATCTTCGAAATGTATGCAACACAGTCGGAGGTCCTGACACGAGAATAGGGACGCACACATGTGGGTATCAGCTTTTTGAATCGTGAGTACCACCCGAAACATGCTTCGACTTGCAGCGCGAGACGAAGAGTTGGGGTGATATTGCGGGTGCGATCGAGTGCGGCGAGACGAGATAGGGGAGGAAAAGCGACACACGCACACACAGGCGGACACACCAGGCGGACACGTATGTAGACAGATGGCGAGAGACAAAAACAAGCTTCTCACACACCTGCTGCTGCAACCTCGATGCCCGAGACATGATTGCTTCTGCATTCAACAACCTGGCTGACGCTATCCAGCAAGTAGGGCATGCTCTCGGCATCTTGCTGCTTCGCGCTTGCTCGCATTGGCCTGGGGGGGGAGCGGCCGATGTCTCGACGGGGCGAAGACGATTCCTCCTCTCTTCGCGCTCGTGGCGAGCCTTCACCGTGTCGTTGTATAGTTGCCTCCTGGCCGCTCGCCGCTGTTC